GTGCGATTGATTTTGTAAACAAAAATAATTTTAATAATAACTGCGTTTTCAATGAAATTATTAATAATGGTCAAAGTTAATACAAATAATTTAACCACTAATCCATTTTCCTCAGTGTACTGGATAACTGATAATAGATAACTGATTCTTTCTCCCAAGAAAGAAAAGTTTTTAAGTTCTTAGAAATTGGTTTACTAACTTCAATTATTTTTGCTTCAGCCATTCTTACAAACTCGTTATACTTAAAGTTACTTTTTTCTGTTTCAAATTCTAATTAAAATTATAAAGTCCACTCACTAAGCATCATCAGCGATATTGTAAAGCAGTTCCGCTTCCTCCTCACAAAGTAATTTAACGTTTTTTGTTAATTTCTATTTTGCTAATTGAATTTCTACAGTTAATTGAATTTCTACAGTTTCTTGCTAATTGAATTTCTTGCTAATTGAATTTCTTGCTTATTGAATTTCTACAGTTGTCAGGTCAGGAGTATGGTCTTCATGATCATCCTGCTACTGGTAACATGTAACCCAGTGCAACCTGTTCCATGTTCTGCTGCCTTGCAAGATTTGCTATCTAAGCAAAGGCTGGAAGGAGTGTTCTTCCTGTCATCAGTACTTTCTTATATCAGTCATGCCTATAGTAATTTTTTTTTTCCCCCATATAGTTGGAGGTGCCTTACTTACTGTATTAGGTCACCTGTAATCTACGTTATATGTATGTTTGTGTTCTGTCTGAACCTCTGGTGCGGTGTTCGCTCACCCGTAAGTTACTTTATGTTCTTTATGTATGTCTGTGTTCTGTCTGAACCTCTGGCGCGGTGTTCCCTCACCCGTAAGTTACTTTATGTTTATGTTTATGTTTTTGATGTTTTTTTATGTATGTTTGTGTTCTGTCTGAACCTCTGGCGCGGTGTTCGCTCACCCGTAAGTTACTTTATGTTTTTTATGTATGTTTGTGTTCTGTCTGAACCTCTGGCGCGGTGTTGACTCACCCGTAAGTTGATTTATGTTTGTTTGTGTTCTGTTTATACTCTAATGCAGCGTGAGCTCAGTAACTAACTACTTACTCCAACTACAAAACGTACACTCACCTTAGACTCCTGTATTTTGTTAGATGCAGTGTTTTTCCTTATGCACTTCCAAAATGTCATGCCTGGTTTTCTCAAAGTACTGTTGCGGGAAGTAGCTCCTTTTAACTACTCCAGGTCAGGTCAGGATAATCGAGATCAATCTTGCTACTGGTATCACGTAACCCAGTACCACCTGCCACAAGCCCTGCTGCCTTGCAGAGTGTGCTCTTCTTATGCAAAGGCTAGGAGAAATAAACTCCGACTAAAAATTCCCCTGCCTTGGGGCTCTTGGTTGAGTAAAGGCTAGAGATTGTGTCTCGATAAAAACACTCATCTTGGGCAGATGTTTACTGCATCCAGCTAAACATCCCCTGCCTTGGGGCTCTTGGTTGAGTAAAGGCTAGAGATTGTGTCTCGATAAAAATACTCATCTTGGGCAGATGTTAACTGCATCCTGCTACTGTCTTGTAGAAGGCCTCCTAGGCAAAGACTTTAGGGGTAAGCAGAAAAATTCTGCTAACCAGCCTCGAACCCCTTCTTCATCTATTAGGCTGGCGTAGATGTAACCTGTGTTACATTGTTCCCTGCCTAGGATGATGAATGCTGGATCTACTTGACTCTACTCATAGAATTTTGCTTATGCCTCAATGATAATGGCTATGCAACTCTTCCTGTTATCTCCATATGAGGGTACAGCTCTAAAACTCAGTTTAATGGTTCTGAGGCCGGCTGGTAGTAAGGTTTCCCGAACTCTGTGGTAGCTCTCAGAGAGGCTGATTCCATCAACAGCTGCAAAATATCAGAGTATTAACAATGCCATGTTGCGCATGGATGGTGTCCCTGTTAATGCTTTTGGTGTGCATTGTCAAGGCCACATAAGGAGCCCTATGTCACGGCTTAGGGTTAATTAACAGGACTGAGACAACTGCATAGCTCATTGATTAGGAGGCTGTGCTCTATCTATGAATGAGTCAAGTTCTCATTTAACCCAAATCATGACCAAAGTAACCAAAAATTTAAAACCTAAAAAACCACCTAAATATCCCCACCACCTAAATATTTTAATATATCTTTTACAAATATTTGCGGTCTACGAAGCAACTTTCCATCAGTTGAGTCTTACCTCCTGCAAAATTCACCAGACTTGCTTGCATTTAGTGAAACAAATTTAAATTCTGCAAATCCTTCTTCAGATGTCAGTGTTGATAGGTACTATTCTTTGATTCGTAAAGACTCAAATAGTCACATGCTAGGTTTAGGGGTATACATACGCATTAGTTCCCCTATTTGTCGTGAAATCAGGTTCGAGTCCTTTGACCATTCTTTTATGTGCTTTCGCGTAGCACCTCTATCACCTTTCTCTTTGTTCTTTATTGTTCTCCTTCTTCCCATGATTGCACTCTCTTAGATGTTATCTCTGATCAAATTGACCATGCCCTCTCTCTTTACCCCTCTGCCAATATTGTTGTTGTTGGTGATTTTAATGCCCATCACACTGAATGGCTTGGCTCTAACACCACTGATCCTGCTGGCACTAAAGCCTTTAACTTCTGCGTTTCTCAATCTCTTACTCAGATAGTTAACTTTGTGACTCGTTTTCCTGACACCCCTAATCATTTACCTTCACTCCTTGACTTATGTCTTGTCTCTGACCCTAGCTTATGTTCAGTTTCTCCCTTTTCTCCCTTAGGTGGTTCTGACCATGCAATAATTTCTATAAATCTTTCTTCTCGTACTTCTTTTTTGGGCTCACCTTATCATCGCACCACCTACTACTACCCTAAAGCTGACTGGGATTTTCTTCGTGATGGTCCTTGGGCTGTTGTTTTTTCTCTCTTAGCTGACAAATGTGCCTCATTTGCTTTTCATATTTATCGACATTAACTGCACCAATTTAGTTAATTACAGCAAAACTACTTGAAATTATTTATGTAGAAATGTTATTAATTAAAAAATGTTTTGGAATGTTTCGTTTTTTAATATGTAAAAACATTTGTTTATTTTCTTGACGTTTGATTCGTTTTGTCTATACTAAACGAATAAAAAACAATATAACTAAACATTTAAAAAAGATTATAAAAGCTATTATTTGAATTTTTTTCTTCTCAAATATGTAATTTAAAGTTTTTCAAATAATTATTTTTTCTTTTTAAAAAGTCAGCGAGTAATAAATTGGAAATTTTAATATTGTTTGATTAAAAACTGTGCAATAGCTAATATTTTTACCAGAGATTTTATAAAATAGTTTTTTATTTATTTTTATTTGTTTTCATAAAGCGGTTGATAAGCACAATCACTCGTATTACTAAAAAACTTTACTGAACGTTTTGAATAGATTTTAAATGTTTACAAGGAATTTTATTTCTAGTAAAATAAAATAAAATAAAATGTTAGAATAAAAATCTTTGCGCAAATAAAATACTTTAAGACTTTTTATTTGCGCTTACTTATTTTTAAAATGTTTTCTCGAAATTACTTTTTAAATACATCAAACAGTTAATAAATATTTTTAAATCTATGGAATAATTTTATAACTTAACAAACCCCCGTAAAATAATTGTTTAAGTTAAAAATCTAAAACTAAACGATAGTATTTTTGTTCAATTTTATCGACAACTTTGCTATTGCTGAATAATTTTATTAAAATGTTAGCTTAAAAAGATTTAAACTTTTTTTTTAATCTGAATTTTTTCTACTTGTAAATAATGAGCGTATTTAATTTTTTTGTAATTCAAACTTTTATATCAACTGCGTGTGGTTTTTAAAATACTTTATTAAATGTTAAAATAATCGTAAATTACTTTATTAAAATTCCGCTCAAAAATATCTTTAAATATACTCAAACAAAAAATTCTTTGCTCGACGCAAATAGCCCTAGCTACACGCAAAATCGCTCTTGGACAACGTAAAATTCACATCGCCCGACGCTTTATCGCAAGGTGTTGGTTTATAAATTGGTATAAAGTAAATATATATATATATATATATATATATATATATATATATATATATATATATATATATATATTTATTTATATACACACACATTGATTTATTGGTATAATGGAATTGATTGATTATTAAAATACAACAAAGTTTTGTGTCCATATCAAATACCAATGATTCCTCAAACAAACATAAGGTCACAAAAACATTTCTTTGTAATGTAGATTAATTTATAAAAATATCAAAACTCAAGATTTTCTCTATCGGTCAATTTTTTTTTTAATAGCTATAGTCAGGGCTTTGGAGCCATGGTCTAAAAATTGGATCTTTTATTTAAATTCAATGGTCTAAAAATTTTGGAAATAACAGAATTTTTTAAATTCATACATACACACATTTATACATATATGTACACACATATTTTGGTAGCTAAATTTGTAGATGCTTTGATTAACTAGTATATAAGCTATGTTTCCCATCTCTTTTAAGACGCAATGTTCTTTGGGTAAAACTATTTTTGTAAGCCGTATTTGCAGTAGCTATCTTGAACCCGAAGTTGATATTTTGTCTTGTTGTTAATTTAGATTTTATTTTTTACCTTTTTGTTTAGCGGATGATTTGGATTTCGTAGAACACACTTTAGGATTTTTATACTTATATTGTAAATGTATGTGTTGGTATTTTTAATGTCATATTTTGTTCTGGCAATTTCTGGACTAATACCTATACATTTTGTATTTGATGTTTTGATACATTGATACATTGATGTATTTGCTATATTTCATGTTTTATTTTGATACTGCTTGCACACAGTAATGATGCACTATGGATCAAGTCTAATGCTTCGGTATATTGTTACTAGTAATTTGCTATGAAAGCCTAGTTTTTTTAAACTTCTAATTAGGTACTGAGTTAAGGAGAGTTTGGGCTTGATGCAATGCCAGTGTTGGTCAATATTTATTTCAATATTTAAATCTAATCATAGGAATTTATGTGAGGTTACATATTCAAGTGTTTTGGAGTTGATGGAAACAATTGGTGGTGGGCGTGTGTTGAGTTTGTTACTAGGTATGCTCAAGATTTTGCATTTTGTTGTGTTTAATAACTTATTTTGTTTTAATGCACCAATTATTAACTCAGGCCTTGCGATAAAGCGTTGGGCGATGTAAATTTTACGTCGTGTAAGAGCGATTTTGCGTGTACCTAGGGCTATTTGTGTCGAGCAAAAAATTTTTTGTTTGAGTATATTTATAGATATTTTTGAGCGGAATTTTAATGAAGTAATTTACGATTATTTTAACATTTAATAAAATATTTTAAAAACCGCACACAGTTGATATAAAAGTTTGAATTACAAAAAAATTAAATATGCTCATTATTTACAAGTAGAAAAAATTCAAATTAAAAAAAAAGTGTAAATCTTTTTAAGCTAACATTTTAATTAAATTATTCAGCAATAGCAAAATAGTCGATAAAATTGAACAAAAATACTTTCTTTTTAGTTTTAGATTTTTAACTTATATAATTATTTTACGGGGGTTTGTTAGGTTATAAAATTATGCCATAGATTTAAAAATATTTATTAACTGTTAGACGTATTTAAAGTATTAAAGAGTAATTTCAAAGAAACATTTTAAAAATTGGTAAGCGCAAATAAAAAAAAATAAAAGGAATAATATTAAAACATATTCTACTTGATTCAATAAAAAAAGTACAGTTATTAAAATTTTTATAAAAAGTAACAAAAAAAAATTACCTAAATATTATTATAAATAAATAATAACAATGTCAAACGTCGAGAAAATAAACAAATATTTTTTTATTTTAAAAAACAAAACATTTCAAAACATTTTTAAATAATAACATTTCTGCATTAATGATTTAAAGTAGTTTTGCGGTAATTAAGTAAATTGGTGCAGTTAATGTCGATAAATATGAAAAGCAAATAAAAAGATTTTACTGACGTCAAAAATCGCGTTGTGCTTATGCGTCGCGCAGTTTTTATTCATTACAAGGCCTGATATGTATATAAATAATTTAAAAAAAAATTTCTTAGTTTACATTAAAAAGTTCAATACATTAAAAAGTTCATTAAAAAGACAATTAACAATTTAAACGAGAAACCATTAAAAAAGTGATAATGACAAGAAAACATTATTGTTTTAATGTTTTAACAACGAGAAAACATTAAAACAACTTGCTTTAAAAAAATGAATGAAACCAATAAAAACTTTTTAATTTATTTCAAACAAATTCCACGTGATATTTTAAAAAATCACTAAATTCATAAAGATTTTACCGTTACCAATTCATGTGATAATTAAAATAAATAAATAATCAAGTCCATAAACATATGATTGTACAATGTAGATAACATTGAAGCGTCATTAAATTTGTAGATTATCATATTTTAAACATGATAATTAAAAACCAGAAATATTAAAAGAAACAACGCGATCAGACACAAAAAATAATATAAGAAGTTGAAATAACTAGCAAAAAATTAATTAAATATTTTTAATCAAAATATATTTACGCTACAATGCTAAATAATTTATTTAAAATAAAGCTTTATAATATCTATTTTCAGTAGCATTTTGAACTGAAATTCGGGCCGAAACCGAAGTCTCAAATCTAGCTGGAACCAAAACAGGAATTTTGATTCCAGCCAAATTTATGACCGGAACCAGAACCAAACCGAATTTTGGTCACTCACTATATGTCATTAAAAAAATTTTAGATAAAGAACTTCTTGGAAGAATGCCAGAAAAGGAATAAATCAAAGAACGGAAAAATAATGAAAATGAATAAGAAACAAAGAATGCACGCTTGCACAGTGTGATGATTTTTTTTCGGTAAAAAAGGCTTATCCCATGATTTTTTTGCCATTAAAGTTAAACCACAATGAATTAGCATCCGTGTGAAAATAAATCAAAAAAATTTTTGAACAGTTACAGCAGTTAGCAAGTAGGCCGTAGAGCGAGAGGATCGAAAACCGTATTGATTGTCTGACAGCAGTTTATTTGACTCAAGATGAGATGTGAGGAATTTGTTGATTAAAGACTCAAAGACCTTGCTAATAACAGAAAGAAGACTAATCGGACAATAATTGGAGGGGTCAGAATTTTATCCAGAGTTTTTCAATATTGGAACCACAGATGCCATTTTCCAACAAGCAGGAAAACAAGACTCAGTCAAACACTTGTTAAATAGTTTAGAGAGAATTGAAGAAAGTTCTGGGGAACAATTCTGCAAGACTGTGACAGGAATGTTGTCTGGACCACAAGCTGTAGACGAGTTTAATTGAGATATGACTTTAGCAACAGAAGCCGGAGTGATTTGAATGTCTAACAATGGGTCAACCTGTTTGACTGGAATGGAAGGAAAAGAATGTCCATAAGATTCATGAGTGGAATTAGAAGAAAAGTTCTTTGCAAACAGTTCTGCCTTATCCCTGGGAGAGGTAACAAGATCAGTCCCATGAATGAGAGATGGAATGTTAGATCTACCTTTGTTAACAATGCTGTTGAAGATTTTTCAAAAGTCTTTAGAGCCTAACTTCTGCGATAAGATGCGAGATTTAGTGAACTGAGAATAATGGAGTTTAGCATCAGAAAGCACCTTTTTACATCGATTTCTTGCAATAATAAATAGCCGTTTGTTCTCAAGAGAGTTGTTCTTTTGAAAAAGATGAAAAAAATGGTTACGATTGGATATAGCAGCCGCACAAGAAGGAGAAAACCATGGAGTAGAATGAGGCTTGACTTGAAACCGACGAGAAGGAATAAAAGCTTCTATTCCAGCCTGAATCCAGGAGGTTACGTAGGAGGCACATTTGTCAGCTGAGAGAGAAAAAACATCAGCCCAAGGACCATCACGAAGAAAATCACGAAAGGAATCCCAGTCAGCTTTAGGGTAGTAGTGGGTGGTGCGATGATAAGGTGAGCCTAAAAAAGAAGTAAGAGAAGAAAGATTTATAGAAATTATTGCATGGTCAGAACCACCTAAGGGAGAAAAGGGAGAAACTGAACATAAGCTAGGGTCAGAGACAAGACATAAGTCAAGGAGTGAAGGTAAATGATTAGGGTTGTCAGGAAAACGAGTCACAAAGTTAACTATCTGAGTAAGAGATTGAGAAACGCAGAAGTTAAAGGCTTTAGTGCCAGCAGGATCAGTGGTGTTAGAGCCAAGCCATTCAGTGTGATGGGCATTAAAATCACCAACAACAACAATATTGGCAGAGGGGTAAAGAGAGAGGGCATGGTCAATTTGATCAGAGATAACATCTAAGAGAGTGCAATCATGGGAAGAAGGAGAACAATAAAGAACAAAGAAAAAGGTTATAGAGGTGCAAAGGCGAAAGCACATAAAAGAATGGTCAAAGGACTCGAACCTGATTTCACGACAAATAGGGGAACTAATGCGTATGCATACCCCTAAACCTAGCATGTGACTATTTGAGTCTTTACGAATCAAAGGATAGTACCTATCAACACTGACATCTGAATTTAAATTTGTTTCACTAAATGCAAGCAAGTCTGGTGAATTTTGCAGGAGGTGAGACTCAACTGATGGAAAGTTGCTTCGTAGACCGCAATTATTTGTAAAAGATATATTAAAATATTTAGGTGGTGGGGATATTTAGGTGGTTTTTTAGGTTTTAAATTTTTGGTTACTTTGGTCATGATTTGGGTTAAATAAGAACTTGACTCATTCATAGATAGAGCACGGCCTCCTAATCAATGAGCTATGCAGTTGTCTCAGTCCTGTTAATTAACCCTAAGCCATGACAAAGGGCTCCTTATGTGGCCTTGACAATGTACACCAAAAGCATTAACAGGGACACCATCCATGTGCAACATGGCACTGTTAATACTCTGATATTTTGCAGCTGTTGATGGAGTCAGCCTCTCTGAGAGCTACCACAGAGTTCGGGAAACCTTACTACCAGCCGGCCTCAAAACCATTAAACTGAGTTTCAGAGCTGTACCCTCATATGGAGATAACAGGAAGAGTTGCATAGCCATTATCAAGGAGGCATAAGCAAAATTCTATGAGTAGAGTCAAGTAGATCCAGCATTCATCATCCTAGGCAGGAAACAATGTAACACAGGTTACATCTACGCCAGCCTAATAGATGAAGAAGGGGTTCGAGGCTGGTTAGCAGAATTTTTCTGCTTACCCCTAAAGTCTTTGCCTAGGAGGCCTTCTACAAGACATTAGCTGGATGCAGTTAACATCTGCCCAAGATGAGTGTTTTTATCGAGACACCATGTCTAGCCTTTACTCAACCAAGAGCCCCAAGGCAGGGGAATTTTTAGTCGGAGTTTATTTCTCCTAGCCTTTGCCTAAAAAGAGCACACTCTGCAAGGCAGCAGGGCTTTTGGCAGGTGGTACTGGGTTACGTGATACCAGTAGCAAGATTGATCTCGATTATCCTGACCTGACCTGGAGTAGTTAAAAGGAGTTACTTCCAGCAACAGTACTTTGAGAAAACCAGACACGATATTCTGGAAGTGCATTAGGAAAAACACTGCATCTAACAAAATACAGGAGTCTAAGTTGAGTGTAGGTTTTGTAGTTGGAGTATGTAGTTAGTTACTGAGCTCACGCTGCATTAGAGTATAAACAGAACACAAACAAACATAAATCAACTTACGGGTGAGTCAACACCGCGCCAGAGGTTCAGACAGAACACAAGCATACATAAAAAACATAAAGTAACTTACGGGTGAGTGAACACCCCGGCAGAGGTTCAGACAGAATACAAACATACATAAAAAAACATAAAAAACATAAAATAACTTACGGGTGAGCGAACACCACGCCAGAGGTTCAGACAGAACACAGACATACATAAAGAACATAAAGTAACTTACGGGTGAGCGAACACCGCGCCAGAGGTTTAGACAGAACACAAGCATACATATAACGTAGATTACAGGTGAGCTAATACAGTAACTAAGGCACCTCCAACTATATGAAAAAAAAAAAAAAAAAAATTACTATAGACATGACTGATATAAGATAGTACTGATGACAGGAAGAACACTTCTTCTAGCCTTTGCTTAGAAAGCAAATCTTGCAAGGCAGCAGAACATGGAACAGGTTGCACTGGGTTACATGTTACTAGTAACAGGATGATCATGAAGATCATACCATGGTGTAAAATGAGACTTGACTTTGAACTGATGAGAAGGAATAAAAGCTCCCATTCTTGCCTGAATCCAGAAGGTTATGTAGGAGGCACATTTGTCAGCTGAGAGAGTAAAGACATCAGCCCAAGGACAGTCACAGAAAATTACAAATAGAATCCCAGTCACCTTTAGGGTAGTAATAAGTAGTCCGATGATAGGGTGAGTCCAAAGAAGTACGAGATGGAAGATTTATAGAGATCATTGCATGGTCAGGGAATATGGTCATTTATAGAGATCATTGCATGGTCATGGAATATATATATATATATATAAATATAATATATATATATATATATATATATATATATATATATATATATATATATATATATATATATATATTTACTTTATACCAATTTATATAACAACACATTGATTAATTGGTATATAAATATATACCAATTGATTGGTATATATATATATATATATATATATATATATATATATATATATATATATATATATATATATATATATATATATATATATATATATATATAAATATATATATATATATATTTATATATATTAATATATATATATATATATATATATATATATTTATATTTATATTTATATATATATATATATATATATATATATATATATATATATATATATATATATATATATATATATATATTTATATATATATATCAGCCTTGTCACGCTTAAAATAAATTTTTCAGAAAACGTGACCACGGCAATATTTCGTAAGAAAGGGGAAATTATCCACAGAGAATAAAAAATAATATTAAAAAAATGAAACGAAGTAAAATGTAATAAAAATATATTGATAATAAAATAAAATAATAAAAAAAAAAAATCTGTAACAAAAAATAAATGTTTTAAACATTTTTTTCGAAGTTTTTATACTGTTGTTTTCTTTTATTAGGGTTGCTATTTTCAGCTACAAAATTTGATTCAAGTCAAGAAAAAGACGATGATAAGTCATAAAGTTTTCACGAAAATAAAAAGGCTTGATACGTAATTTATTCACGAACTTTATCAGACAATGTATTAAAAAACTGATTCATTATTTACGCTTGACAAATTTGGTTAAACTTTTTCATTTAATTTAGTTTTTACAAAGGTTTATGCAAAGGCAATGACTTTATTCCCTAATACTTAGACAAGAAAATAAATTGCTGCTTTAATTATTAAATATATTATTTGAGATTTTAAACATAACAAAATTTTAATGTGAAAAAAGTTCTTTCTCGACTTATTCTAAAATGCGGTAGTGGTGTAGTGGTAGAGCGCTCGCTTTATAAACGAGTGGTTCTGAGTTCGATCCCCACCACGTCCCTGGTAGTACCGCGCTCAACTCGTTTCTCCGCGCAGCGGCCTTGTTCGTCAAGGTTCGTGTTTCGGAGTTATAGAGTTGAGAGAGGGTTATAACCACAAATAAGTAGCCTCCTCGTCTGTAGTGGCCTTCTCGGCCTTGAGGAGGTGAATTAAAATAAAAAAAAAACTGATTATACTGAGTCAATGCTTGCCTACGTTGAAATTATTCAATTGTATAATTTTGTAATTACTAAGAAGTTAGAAAAATAATTGCATTGCTTCTGTTGTCATTGTTACAAAAACAGTTTCTTCGGGACATTATTATATATTAACACACGTTCACAATGTCAATTAATGTTTGCAAAATAAACAACTCAATCCTTTGACAATAAAATTTTCTTTCATTTAAAAAACAAAACAAACATATTTTAATAATAAATAGCAATCATTTCGTGTTTTCTTGCGTATCAATACATTCAAACATTAAAATCAATACATTTAAACATTTAAATGTATTTACGAAACATTTAAAAATTGTTTATAGTTTTATCGTGAATTTTAAAGTATTACTGACTGATAAAAGTCATAAACAAATTTTACATTAAAAGGTCTTTTTATTTTCTTTAAACATTAATCTTTTTCTTTTTGATTTGATTTTTTTTATTGATTTGATTTTTCATAGCTTAAATAACTACCACTCTAAAAAAATAAATAAATAAAATATAGGTAAATTTTTTTTTTTTAATAATATACATACATTTTTTATTTTTAAAGCACAAACAGATATCTGTTATTTACTTT